AGGGCTTATTGTTGAGGAAAATGAAATTTTGATTAAAAGAAAGGTTATCTCGCGCGGGATTTTGCAAAATTTTTTTTCGGCATTCTTTAAAGAGGTAAACTAATCAAGGAAAAAAAGTTGTAATTTTAAAATAAAATTATTTGCAAGGATGGGACCTGAGGGGCCACTCTATCAGCTTACCGAAATGAAACAAATAGTATGTTTTTCAATGAACTTTTGCTCCGAGGGCCACAATCAACCCTTTCAAATATTTAGAAAAAAATTCAGCGGGATCCCGCAAACATAACTTTGTCGATTTACATATAATCTGTGTAAATTTAAAGCCTAACTGCGTTGTTTTGGTCACATTTGGAACGGTTAATTTAACCGGAAGGTTGGATCGCAAAAGTATGGCAAAAATGTTTGAAGAATTCGAAAAACATAGTCATTGTTTGTTTAAAGCTCGTTTAAATAAATTTGTACCAAAAAATTATAATAAAAACATAATTAAAGTGACAGATGAAATTCTTCCACAAAAAGAGATTTTAGGTAAAATAAATATTAATTTTATAATTAATTTTAATTTTACAGCCAAAAAAAATACAAAATTATTTATTTCTCATTGTGGACAAAATAGTTTGACTGAGGTATTTTTTGTTTGTCTAAAAAGAGACCCTAGTAGTTCTAAAATTTAATGGATCTTTTTGTTGATATTTTCATCCATTATCGCTAGGGCTAGGATTTTAGGCAAAATGCCTGTTTTTTTTTCTAAATAGGCCTGATGCTGAAACGTCCAAATCAGGTGTTATTTTACTAAAATCTTCTTCCTAACTAATTTTATCGTTGCCTAAAATTGCCTATTTTGGCTTTTTCTGAAAAAGTGCCCTATTTTGCCTTTTTTCAGCCTATTTGCACATTTTTACTAAAATTTACGAATTTTTGGGCATTTTTTAAGAAATTTGTTGACTAAAAATTAGTTTTGGTAGAATTTATTTCACAAAAAAATTTTTTTTAAAAGAATTTTTTTGTCAAAAAATTTTCATCTTAAAAATTTATTCAAATTATTTTCGGAAGCAAAATAATTAATATAAATTAATTTACATTTGCAATTTTTATCTTCAAAATCAATTTATTTAACAGTTTATTGCTTAAATTCAACCATTTTTATAGATTTTAGTCGATATTTTTGCAGATCAAGCTCAAATTTTAAGAAATTTTGTATATTTTGCCTGCCTATTTTGCCTTTTTTTCGGAATTAGTTGCCTATTTTGGCAGTTTTTTAGTGCCTATATAGGCGCCTATTTTTGACTTTTTAGTGCCTAAAAATCCTAGCCTTAATTATCGCACATCCTTATTAAAAACTTAAATATTAATTAATTTCTAGGCTATTTATGCCGGTGTTCCTTTAATTTGTATCCCAACCAATGGCGATCAGTTTTACCTTTCTTCTCTTGTTGAACATTTGGGGATTGGAATTTATGTAAAAGTTTTATATTATGAAAATGGAGTGGATAGTGAAGCTTTTGGTGTTGACTTCCAAAATGCTTTAAATAAAATGATGATTGATAAGTAAGTAAATAATCATTATACCACACACTCGTAAGGGTTTGACTCCAAAATATTTTAAAAAACAAGAATATTCTCTATTATCAACTAAAAACTTGAAAGAATTAATCCTATAAAATATTATCCTTTTTAGCAACATTTATCAAAAAACAGTTAACGAACTTCGAACAAAAATTCTTCTTGATTTAAAAGAAAATGGGCCGAAGAAAAATATTTTTCTTCAAAAGATTTCTGAAGTAATTGGTAAATAGTAAATGAAGAGGAATTACATATAAAAAATTTTTTATTTAATTTTTTATTTAATTATTTTTTAATATTTTTTATTTTTTTCATATTTAGTGTTGTCTTTGCATTTAAAAAATTTCAATTTTAAAATTTATATAATTATTATTTAACGAAACAATTTTATTAAAAACATCATTTTAAAAATATTTTTATAAATAAATTAATTGTATTTTTAATTTAAAAATTAAATAAAAATTTTGTAAATAAATAATTTATCAATTAAAAAGATAAAACAAAAAATAAAAGTAATAACAAAATTAAAAAATTATTTTAAAGAAAATTAATTGGTTCTTTTTAAACTTATTTGAACTAAAACTAGTTTCTAAATTTTCATTTTAAAACAATTTAAATGTTTAAGATTTAAAAATAATATTTATATTTATTTTTTTATTTTCTAAACTAAAAAAAATTTTTTCAAAATAATATACAAAAATAATTTAATAATTAATAACTAGGGTTAGGATTTTTAGGGCCTGTTTTTTCCCAACTCTATTAATAACTAATTACAGTCTAATTTTGATATAAAGGACCGAGAATATTTTCTATATTAAGAATAATTTTAGAAAAAAATCTTGATTAAGGACCAGTCAATAGGCTTGCTAATTTGAGAACTTTGTTAAATGGAGGAGTAGATTAGATCGAGGTTTGACTGTAGTAATAAATAATTATTATAATAACATTGTTAAATATTTTCTTCTTAATTATTAATGTATTATATAATTAATTGTATAAACTCCGACCCCGATGGATTTTTTTGGCAAGAACCCCAAACCCCGATATGCCTTCACCGGGAAACACCCGATCCCCTACACACTCGCCCCCGAATGGTCGGTTGCTACCCTAGTATAGAAAATAACAAAATTAATCAAAAATTAGATTTAAATATTATATTTAATAAAATAATTAACTCAAAAATTAAAATTATTAAAATTTTTTATTTATATTAAAAAAGGAGAGAATGTTTTATTACTATTTAATATTATTATTAATTATTTCTTTATTTTCTTTAAATAATTCTCTTAAATGTAAAATGGCTTTGATTAGCAATGAAGTAGCTAATGATGTTACTGAATTGTCTAATAAAAAAATTCTTTCTCAAATGATTGATACAGAATGCGATAAAAATGTAAGAAATTAATTTAAATAAATTTAGTGTCGGGATAATATTAGGGGTTAGTTGATCAGTATTTCCTTTGTTTTAATTAGAGATTGGATCAAACAAATATTTGACGTTGGAAATATTTGGTTTTGATCTAATTTTATTTTTGAATTGAGGGAGATCACTAGATATGGAGGGATTCGGATGATTTATGAAAGATATCCCCTTATCATTTTAAAACCCTTTTAATCTTTAAATCCACTTGTATTCCCTTAATCCATCCAAATCCTCTATATTACCCTTAATTCCTTCACTGATCTTAATCCTCCGATATCATCTCCAATTCACCTTTTAGACTTTATTTAAAAAGTTAGCTAAAAGAAGGATTTCTGGTTTCTTAATCATCCGATTAACAACACTAAAATTTATATAAGATCCTCGAAAATAAAAAAATATGACTGAGATTTATTTAAACATATTAAGCTAACGTTAAATTAACATTATTTAAGTTCCCTAAATATGTATATACAAATAAAAAAATTTATTTAGGACAATTATTGTGTTACATATACAGAAATAACTACATTAAATGCTACAGAAAATTTTCTTTTACATTCCTGTGAAAGTTTATGGAGAGATAATATTAAAAAAGCGAGACTTCGCCAGGGATTTGAGAGTGATACTTACACCTGTGAAGTTTGATTTTAAAAAATAAAAAAAATTAAAAATAATTTTATTTTGTTAATTAAAATATTTTTGAAGACAACAGACGGTGAAACACATTCAATGCAGGCTACAAGAACTCTTGCCTCCGGTGTTAAAGTCTCTGGAAGAGTTCGTTATTCTCTTAATTGTTGCGACACTGACCTTTGCAATGTTTATAATAATTTAATTATTTTAATATTATTTATTTTTTTAAAGGCGTATGTACTTTCTGGACTTAGATAATTTTTTTTAATTGAATGGAATTTTTAATAAATTTTATATAATTTTATATAGTTTTATTTAGAATCCAGAATTTAATTTTATACTGTACACTGAGAAATATCGAGAAATTTCAAAATTTTAACGTACCTTATTATGGTGGATATTCCGTACCGTATTACCGATACTGTACAGATTACCAATAAATACCCCGAAGAATACCGTAGGTAGTCTGATACCGTTCGGGCTCCAGCTTTATTATTAAAAAATTTTTTTAATACTTATTAAGAAATATATAAACGTCTACATTTAATTTTAAAAATTTGCCCTTTTAAATTTTAAAAATTATTTTTAAAATAGATTATTGATTGCGGTACAAGAAAATTAAAAAAATAAATTGTAGTTTGTATTTATTTTTTTGTATCTATGTGGAATCTAGTCAATATTATTTGTCAATTAAAAAATTAAAATTAATTAAAAATTATTCCCCTCTCTCCTTCCCCCCCCTCCCTTCCCTCCCTCCATCCCTTCTTCCCACTCTCTCTCCCCCCCCCCCCCCCCCCCCAATTCATATTTCATTTGCAGCGATACAAAAAATAGGTTTTATAATAATTTTCCTAAACAAATAAATTTAAAATTAAAAACAAAAATTAAATTTAGGTATTTACTTGTTTGTATCCATATATTTTTTTGTTTTTAGTAAAAATTATCGAATTTAATATGTTTAGATTTTAAATTAAGTTTAAAATTTTTTTAAATAAAAATTTGGCTTCAGTCTTTTTTATGAGTCCAATGAAAATTTATAAGTCAGATAAAATTTTATAAAGCAATTAAAAAATGGAAAAAAATAAAGAATAAGAATTTTTATTATTATATTGCGTTTCTCAAGGGCTAACGGAGCATAAAAGTGGGAAACAAGATTTTAATTGATATCTGGGTAGATGTTTATCTGGGGTAAACACTTTATATTTATTTTAAATTATTCTAAACTCTCAAATAATAAGGCATTCCGTGGCAGGTAATACTTCGATCAGGCAAAACTTCGACCGACATTATTCCGTTTACATAAACTTCATCCAGCCAAAAGTCCGACCAAGACTTCGTCCAAAGGGAAAAATATGCATTTTTCACTGGGTAGGGGTCCTTTTGGCGCGAGTAATGCTGTTTTTCTGAGGCATTTTGTCGTTTGGCATTTCCGATTTCCGACTTTAGAACTATTTCCGATTTCCGACATTTCCGATTTACGTCACATTCGTTATTTCTGACCCACCTCTGATCGCATGGAATCCGCTGAGTATTAATTTTTCTTAATCCGCCGAATCTGATACCCTCAAAGTTCGAAAAATTACCATTAAAGATCACAAACCTCCATTGGACTCATAAATTGGACCTGAGCCAAAAATTCTAACAATTTTATAAAGTTCGCATTAGTAATTAGTATTTTTGTATTATTTTTTATAAAGTCAAAATTAAGTTTTGACTTTATAAACTAATAACGTTTTATACTCGAATTTCGATTTTATTCACTAATTTTGTTATCTTATTTAATTTTAGTGTTTTATTGACTAAAATCCACAACTCTTTATTCTAAAAAATAGGAAAATGCGTTTGCGTTTTCCTACAATTTTGTTTCTAATTTTTTTGTTGACCACGGTTTATGGAATGGAAAAACAAAAAAAGAGTAGATTTGGTCGTTCAAGAAAATTAAAACGTGATGAACCCAAACAAATGTCTCTTGGAACAACCGATTCTGGCGACACAATCATTCGGAATACTCTGAATAAAGGAGTAGAAACGCTTACAAAAGGAGTTAAAAATTTACTTGGAGGAAAAAAGAAGGAGAAGGAAACCACAAATAAAGTTTTTCAGAGAAATTTGAGTGAATTGGTTCCGTATAGAGAAGGTAGATGATATTTTTAATTTTACAAACTTGACAAAATTAATTAATTATAAAAATAATTGTACAAAATGTTGTGTATAAAGAGTAAGCGTCAGTCTAGTGCAGACCTGGGCGAAACTCAAAATTTTTTTCTGACGAAACGAAACGAAACAAAATTTTTTAAAAATCGTTTCGTTAACGAAACGAAACAACCAAAATCTTACGAAACGAAACGAAACAAAACGAAACATTTTAATATTCAAAAAATTTTCAAAACTGCATTTATTTCGAAATTATTCGACCTCAAATACTTTATTAATCGCCTATGACTTATAAATGATTTAGTTATTGGTTTATTTACAACAATTGTGTCCCATAAGCCAGGCCCGTAGCAAGGAAAATTTTCGGGGAAGGGGGGGGGGTCAATCATTTTCGAAGCCGAATTTTTGGCGACGCTTTTTTTCAAATAAAATTGAATATTTTTCAAGTAAAATTTTATTTTAAGCGCCGCAGACGAAAAATTTTAAAATTTTGAAAGGCCGTAGGCCAAAAAATTCACTATCTTGCTCCATTGCCTACCCAAATTGTCTCCATATCTCCATTTCGAGAGGAAGGCGATATAAGCTAGTGCTTCGCCGGAAGTTCCGGTTCCAGTATTTCCGCAACTCGCAATCCGCAATTTTTAAATTATGATGCGAGTCCGGTAATAGAATTTGTCGTCGATTAAGTAATATGTATATGTGGATTAGGGAGTGGAGTATAAACGGATTTGTAGTATATAAGTAATTGATATCTTCCTTTTTCAGCGCCGCAGGCGAAAATTTTGACAATTTGGGAAAGCCAAGAAGCCGAAATTCTTTTTTTTCAGCGCCGTAGGCGAAAATTTTTAAATTTTCAATAAAAGATGGTAAATTTTATAGATTTTGGCCTTAGTTTAGGCTTAAAAAATTGTTTCGTTTCGTTGAAAAATCACAGGTGTTTCGTAACGAAACGAAACGAAACAAATTTAAAAGTGTTTAGTAACGAAACGAGACGAAACAGTAAAAATCATACGAAACATACGAAACAACGAAACGAAACGTTTCGCCCACGTCTGGTCTAGTGGGATCATACTAGCGGGGCTAGTCACTGATCTCCGTCGTCTGTTCCAGCTCTTTCACTTTCGCCTACATTGTTACATTTCTAAATGGGATAAATTGTTTATTCTTGTGCACTTCAACATTAGTTAAATCTCGGACAATCCTCGGACATAAAACAAAACACAATTTTAAAATTTTGAAAACTTTATTTTTATGGTGAATTTTTACAACAATTTGTGTCTATCGTTCGATCATGAAAAGTTAAATTGTAGATTGTTGTAAGATAAATATCGTATACGTATTCCCCCATTTCCCGGTACAGAGCTTCGTCATTTATAGACTTTGTTCTTCTTACTTTTTTATTCACTATCAATGGAAATTCTCACAGAAATTTTAGAACCTTAAGAAATTAAAAAATCTTAGGTGGGGTTATAATTATGTTACACACTGTTTTGGACAGAGGAGGTTTATTATTTAAACTCATTTACTTACCCTTACTTGGACGGTAAGTAATCGAGGAAATACGGTAAACAGTTGTAAGGCTTTAAAACCACCGAAATTAAATTTAAGGCACAATCCTTTCCCACCCACTATAGCCCTATCTGATTAAAAAATGAGTATAAACTTAAACATTAGGTTTAAGTAAAAGTTAGCTAATTGCGACTTGTTATTTATTTTTTATCAGATAAAAAAATTGATCATGATAAAATGATGAAGAAATTAGAAGAATATACAGAAGCAGATTATATTAAAGGATTAAACAATAAAATTGGATTAACTAACGGAATTAAAAATGAAATGAATAAATATTTTGTTGATAAAGATAAATCAGAGGAAATAATAAATGAATTTAATTAATTTATTAAAAATATAAATGATTTGCGGATCGGAACAGAAGAAGTGAAAAATGTAATACTGTTTAAAATTACAGGACATTTGGAGAATGAGAAAGTTTTGATTGAAGAAGAAAAACTTGATGAAATAAAGAATGATATAATACATTATGCCCAAACTGAAGATGAAACATTTGAAGAGGTTAATGTTGTATAAATTAATTAAAATTGTGAAATTTTTTATTTAATTCTGGGTACTTATTTAGTCCCCCCCCCCCCGTCCAAATATTTGCATGTTGTAAGCAAATACATATTTGGACATGTTTGGATTGGACATGGGTTCAATATGAAGTCAGGGAGCTTAAGCCAATGAGAGTGGAAACAAGGCATCTCTAAAATAAATAATAAACCTGCCAATATTCCGATTTGTGTTTTTTGAAATGATGAAGAGCCAATCCTAATTTAACAATAGATCTATTATTAATTTAATTATTTATATATTTTATTTTATTTAAAATTTAGATTGCAAATAAAGAGTAAGTAAAATTTTATTTTTTATAAAATACTTTAATTTTTTTTAAATTTTATTAATAATTTTAATATATAAATATTATTAGTTTTAATATTTTAATAAAAATTAATTTTTTAAATAAAAGAGTTGAATACAACGAGTTGTATAATAAGTTGAAGAAGACTGAAAAATATTGGTTAAAAGTCAAAAAAAGTGATAATTTTAATACAAAAATGTCTAAGCATCAAGAAGAGATGGGAAAGATAATCAACGATTTTAAAGAGTTTAATTTAGCATATTTGTCTGAAAGTAAACTTGTTAAGAGAAAATCTAAAGTTATTGAGGATGCAATATCAGTAAAGTCTCATTCAGGAGAACTTAGTCAAGTTTCTGGAGAAAGCGAGGAAATGGGAAATCTTGAGAATATTAGCGAACATGGTGGATATGGATCTCCATACAGTGCTAGTGGATCTTGTCGCCAATTTTGGCGACTTTTCATTGAATTGTCTCTTTTTTAAATTGTCCCCCGTTCACTCCTCGTTAATTTTTTAGCCGTTCACCCTTTATTTTTTTCATTGTCCACTCAATCTTTTTAAACCTTTTTCCCGCCAAAATTTTTTCTCTCTATTTTTTAGTGACAGTTTGCGCCTGTCACAACTTAAATTTTTCCTATTGTTTTTTCCGATTGTCTTCTCTGCCCCGTTCTCTCTACACATTTGGTTTTCTATAATCTATTAAGCATTATTTTTCAAGTTCGCATTTTTTGAGTTTTTTGCCAAGACCCGCCCTCTTTTAATCTCTATTTAAGCCGAGGATCAGCCCCCCAAAAATTACCATTCACCTCCAGTTTTTACTTTCAACCGCTTCCAGTTTTCAATTTCAACTCTCATCTTTTGGTTGGCTGATCCGCGGCTTCTACCTTTGTTTAATTAGTGCTCGATTTATTTTACTGCTCTGTTTTTTTGGCTATTATTTTTTGTGGAAGAAGTAAATTTATTGTTGACTTGTCGTTGTATTTTGTTTGAGTGGAAAAGTGAACCGCCTCGAGGTTCACTTACTGTTCTCCTTCTGTTATTTGACTGTGTTGGCACAACCAACACAGTCTGGTGCCACGATCCTAAAAATCCAATTTGTCGGGAAGCCCGTCTCCCGACAAACTGGTGCCACGACCCGGGACGCCGTCGTGGTCAACTACAACACCAACTACCACAACAACAGTAAAGCAACTGGGTTATAGCTATTTCTCTCCTTCAGCTAGTGCGATAGGCTTTAACAATCAACTACCCGTTCCCCTTTTGTTAAGTCGGACAACTACGACTACAATTACCTGTTTTGAGTGAGCTACACCAATTAACCATGTCAGCGGTGATTCGTCTCCAGTTAGCAACCGTCTTATCAACACTCAAAGTAAAAGGGCGTGCCGTGTTAACCGCGTTGAATGCCACTGACACCACTGTGGATGAAGATGACCGTTTGGAGGCAGATGCTGTTCAACTTAGAGAAGCTGCTGGTCGTGCACAGGCACTGGTGGACAAATGGTCAGACTTCATTGCGCGACTCATGCCAACGGAACAACAGGACGAGATGGACATCCTTCAAGCCTTTCCGCCGCCTAGAGGCGAAGTCAGGGAGGATGATGAACCTACTGCGTTGGCGCAGATTGAGCGTTCCTATGAATTAGTGGACTTGGTTAATGTTTGCCTCCAGCAACGCAGAGTCGGCAATCGTGGTTCAGTCTCCTCACGAAGAACTGAGAAGTCCGTCACCGTTGGTAAAGAGCAAAATGATAACGCACGTCGCCAGGCTCATCACACACAAGATAATGGTCAACAAAACTACTCGCCTGAACACCCTGATGGATTTTTACGACGCCAAACTCAAGCACGGATTAACGAACAGCAAGCAACTGGTAATGGAACGAGTGCCCATCACACCAACTCCGCAAGTCAAGCCGGATTTTCACCGTACCAACAGCAGGGAACGTACAACGGTGCACCGATTTACTCAACCTTTAGGCCTTTTCGTCTTGAACCGATGAAGTTTGCTGGCGATCCCAAGGAATGGACTGCATTTTGGCTGGCATTCGACCGTGCTGTCAACAGTCAACCTCTTCCACCTTTTGAGAAGCACCTATGTTTATTGCAAAGTCTGGTACCTGGTTCTGCTGCGCGACGTGCAATTGATGGTTATCCGCCGTCGGATGAGAACTACCCGATGGTGGTCAGCATACTTCGGCGTCAATTTGGCGATGGAAAAGCCTTGCGAGAAGGACTGATTGCCGAGCTTTTACAACTCCAAGTGGCTAACAACTCACTTTTTTCAATGCGTAACCTCCGGGAACATGTGGAAAGAATTTGTCTCCAGCTGGAATCACCAGAGGGATCTAATGCAACCCAGGACGAAATCGTGTGTGGAATAATCAGATCTAAGCTGCCACGCGAAGCCTTGGAGATTTTGATTGGTTGGGAGCAGGACGATGAGGAATGGACTTTGGCTCACCTTCGCGCCGGACTGGGACGCATTGTTCAACGAAAAGAGCGTTTGGAGAGAACCATCACGACCTTGCGACCGGCTGTGCCTGAACGAAGGCCTCGGGAAGACGACCAACG